GACGGCTGGCTGTCGATACCCGTCGTATTGGTATTATGACATCTATGCTTTGACATATAGACAACATCAACAATGAAAATATCTTCCATGCAACAAATATTGAATAAAACTAAGATTAGAATATACTTTTTCATTATGTAAAGATAAATCGGCATTAGAATTTTTCGTTTTTGAGGGTGTAGGTGTAGGCACGTTACATCCTAAGCCACACCCACATCTAGTTACCATTCGGATTATAATAAACTACTAATAGTTATGTATTTTGTCAATGAATGTAACAGTTTTATTCAGTATTGTATCAGCTCAGTTTTTCTACCTTTCAAGAACTTCAACTATAATAAAGTTTGGGAAAACCTTATCTTTGCATAATTCGACGCATTACATTACATGAAAAAAAATTAGCGATGAAATATTTGCAATAAACATAATCAGATTTACGAATAATATCTAAATTAAAGAGTATTATTAGTGGCGGTAGTTTCTATGAACGATAAAATAGAATGTGTAGATTAAAAAACAAACTCGTTATGACTGTTTTTATCGCTCAACCTTTTCAGGACGGGAGACGTATATATACGTTTGGTTTTGAATCAACTTCCAATGAACATTTGCAGGTATCTTATAGTACAGTGATAACTTACACGCTGGTGAAGACCATAGATATAACAATACTAATGTGGCATCACACTATACTGTCATCTACTCTCTTTGAAATGAATATATTGTCTCAAAGATTCGAAAAATTTCATCTGTATCAAAAGTCCGCCCTGTCTTCAAGGAATTAATATCTGAAACAGTAGTGTATAAATTGAATTTGACTTTCAAAGAATTAATAATCAGCACATTCAAATCTTATACGAAATAGATAAATTCGAAGGGCATATTTGTCATACCCATAAACTTTCTGCTTGATGGTATCAGAATTAATTTTTTTTTCATGATTAATATTGAAAGATGACAGTAAAGTGCATATATATACTCTTTTAACTTCATATATGCATGATAACTACTATATATAACTATTCGTTTATTCGTTATCTGATCTTTGTACAAAATGAAGAGTGTAGTCATATACGAAGTAGATGCATGAATATTAATCACGTAAATAATGACGAATAGACAAAATCGATGCAAATATTTAAATAGTAAAAGAACAGGTCAAATCAAGGTAAAATGTCTATATTCGCAATATCTCGAACTATACGTCATTTTTATTTTAATTATCATCATTCCGAATCGACTCCTATATGGATTCATTCAGCTTTTATACAACGTATTCAATTTAGCTTTCGACAAGTGATATGTTTTTTATTTGTTGGTTTTCTTGCTTATGGAACTCAATTAGCTAATCAACTTTCACTTGAATATCTTGTTCCTATAATAAGTATTTTATGTTTACAACAAACATTCGGTTCAACATTATCTTGTTGTTATCAAATAACTTTAGCTATAACACCTCTTTCAATATTTTTATTTGTTATTAAAAAAATTGGCCTTGGTTATCATAATTATCTTGCAACGGAACTTTTACTATTATTTACATCATTTTGTGTTGCATATGGATGTACTCAAGTAAATATTAGAAATTTTTTAGCATTTCATGATTGATTGTTTTGTTTTTTTTAGGTTCAAACTAGAAAATTTTCTTTACTTTACAATGTTATATATTTTGCTGGGAATTTTTCTAACCCTAGTATTCTATCAACATATTCTTTTGAATTACTCGGAGTTTATCTTCTTGGAATGGTTATGGCTTTGCTCGTATCACTTATTATCTTTCCTCTTTTTGCAACTTTTGATATTGAAAATCGTTTTAATTATTCTCTATCAAAACTTCAACGTATATATACATTGACTATTCAAGCATTTCTTTGTCCAGATAAAATGAGTGCATATATGTCATTGACAAGAGCATCATTGATAGAAAATATGGTTCATAATGCATTAACTCCAATTCCAATGAAACTTGATAAAGCTCATTTTGAGCCAGCTCGATTGTTACAAAAAATATTCAATCGAAAACATAGACATATTATTGATTTGACATTACAAAGTAATTATTTCTTAATTAAAATCCTATGTTTATCATTTATCCTTTTTTGAGAACAAGAAAATTTTATTACTTCATTAATGTTTCATGTATATTCACTTCAATTGATGGTCAATGAATGTTCATGTTACTGAAGATGATTTCACTTCTCAAACAATTAATCTTCAAGAAGCTTTTAAATTACTTCGTACAGCTTATATTACAACTTCTCGTCATCAAGTTAAACATGCACTTGAAATTGAAACAACAATTCAATCTGAAGATCATCTCTCACATGCATTTTTTCTCTTTCAACTTGATGCTATCGTACAACTTTTGACACAAATAATGACAAATGACAATCGGAAAAAAGATATTTCAAAAATATCTAAAAAGAATACAATAAATTTAAAAGAACAATTAAAATTACAATGGCCACGTTTATTATCATCTTTGAAGAGCATGGTTATTATTGGAGTTGGTTCAATCTTTGTACTAGTACCTCGTTTAGCAGCAGCATTTGAAAATGGACAATGGATTTTAGTTACTCTTTGTATGGCATAAGGTAATACTGTAGGTGGAGCATTTACAACAATGAAAATGAGACTTATGGGAACATTACGTGGTATGTATATGTGTCAGGCAAAATTGAGATTTAGGCAAAATTAAACAAAGCTATTAAAAGACTTGAAATTTTAAAAAAGTTAAAAAACATAAAAATAAATAGTTGATCCTATAAATTTAAGTTAAGTTATATTCAACTTTAATTGAAATTTAACTCAGTTTAGGAAGATGTAGAATTCGCCACTTTTTTTAATGCAAATCTAATTAAAACTTAGGAAGATGTGGAGTTCGCCACTTTTTTCAATGCAAATCTAACTAAAATTTAGGAAGATGTAGAGTTCGCCACGTTTTTCTATGCAAATCTAAATAAAATATAGGAAGATGTAGAGTTCGCCACGTTTTTCTATGCAAATCTAAATAAAATATAGGAAGATGTAGAGTTCGCCACTATTTTCAATACAAAGTGTATTGAATTTAGGAAGATGTAGAGTTCGCCACTTTTTTCAATGCA